TTATTATTATTATTTAATTTGCTATAGGGCACATGTGCTCACTAGAGAGAGACAGAGAGAGAGAAAGGGAAAGTGAGAAAGCAAGCCTCCAGGTCTGGGACTCAAACTGCTGTTGGCCACGTGGGAGTCCAGTGACTTAACCACTATGCCACCTGCTGGCCCCCACAGGATGACTTTTGAACTTCTTATTCAAAGGAATCAGAATACTAATGTCAAGGTCATCCTAAAAAAAGTGAACCATAGATTTCCATCCTGCCATAGATTTCACCAAAATCTCCGCACAGTGCCAGGCCACAGGACCTAATCTCTGCTGATGAGATCAATAAACTATCAGAGAGTATATTTTCAAGGAGTGACTCTTAATGCTATTAATCTGACCAGATTGCAATTAATCCATTGCTTTCTCTTAGGGATGACTACAGAAACCAGCCACTGCATACACTAGTGGATGCTAGTCGTGTCTGAGTTGCTCTGAAGCTTTGACAGCCCCGACACACTGCCATTTGGAAGCGCTGCTCAGTGGAAACCACACCTGCTGGGATTGGCCCATACAAACTACAGATGCCTTTTCGGGGGAAGAACATTCTTGAGAAGAACTCAGCCCAGCAGGCGCCATCTAGCGTGACTCAGAATATGATAAACACTCCCCCAGAGTAACATTTCTTGCAGGGCAGAAGCACTCAACCTTGGCTGTGTGGTAGAATCACCTAGGGAACCTAAGAATGTGTGTGGCCAGGCCTCCAGCCCAGGCTAATTAAAATCAGCATCTCCAGAAGTGGAGACCCCAGTACTGGTATTTTTGACGCTCCCCAGATGGTTCTAATGAGCAGCCAAGGGTGAGAAGCACTACCGTAGGGGGATTCTAACAGTTTTTGGGTCTGAGCCCAATTGGTGAGAAGCCTCTGTAGAGAAACCTGCAAAATACCACTCGCATAGGGTAGTCAGCATCCCTCCCAGCCTTGAACCATAGCTGACAAGTGCTTGGCTTGTCTGGAGCGTTACAGTCTACCTGATTTGTAGGGAGAAGGGGTTATATGAGAAGTGCTATTTGAATGCCTGTCTGATTTTTCTGCCTAAAACATAAGCACAAAATATTTACCGGCCCTTACCCTGTCAGAGCCTGGAATTCGGTAAAAACATAACAAATAAAATACTCAAGGAGAATGTCATTCATTCCCAGGAGGTGATTCTACAGAGGGAGTGTAGGGGAGGGTGTAATGCAATGTAATGTAATGTCCCACTGGGTGGGCGGGGATGGAGAGGAACCCTAACTGTTGCCAATGTAGTAGAACTGTCAGACTGTCATTAAATTGGCTCTGCAAATTTTGAAACTAAAAGCTTACAGTGTAAGAACATAAACATCTGGAAGAAAATTAAAAAGACAGGCCAGCAGGTGGCTTGGCGGTTAAGGCCGCTAGATCTCACGTGGCTGACTCCGTGGTTCGATTCCTAGACCCGACAGCTTGAAAACACCAGGCATGCATACATGCCCAAAACCCCGAGTAGAGAATGGAGGAGGGGGGTTCTGGCATGCCATTCTTCCTTGGGTGGTGGTGTGGGGGCGTGATTGCTCTCACTTTCTCTCTCTCTCTCTCTCTCTCTCTCCAGTGAGCATATGTACCCTATAGCAAAAACAAAACAAAACAGAAAGAATGAAAATGAAAGGGTGGCAACTCTTGGGCACTACGAGCTCCTCACCCGGGAACCTGCCCTGTCCGTTGTGCTCGCCCACCCACCCGCGTCCACCATGGCTGACGTTCAGCAATTGCAAGGAAGATGGTGCCTGGTGGACAGCAAAGGCTTTGATGAATACATGAAGGAACTAGGTGTGGAACTAGCTCTGCAAAAAATGGGTGTAATGGCCAAACCAGATTGTATTATCACTTGTAATGGGAATAACCTCACTGTAAAAACTGAGAGCACTTTAAAAACAACACAGTTTTGGGAACCAGCAGTTAGCGTAATGGCTATGTTGCTGGACTCCCACGTAGTCGACCGCGGTTCGCGTCTCGGACCCGGTGGCTTAAATCTCACGCCAGGCGCGTGTGCGTGCGTGCCCAAGATCCCGAGAGGAGAATGGAGGAGAAGGGATTGCGGCGTGACCATCCCCCCTGGGGGGTGATTTCTCGCTTTCTGTCTCTATGTCTCTGTCTGTCTGGCGAGCGCACGCGCCCTATAGCGAAAACCTCTCAAAAAAAAAGAAAAAAACCACAGTTTTCTTGTACCTTGGGAGAAAAGTTTGAAGAAACTACAGCTGGCGGCAGAAAAACTCAGAGTGTCTGTGACTTTAAGGACAGTGCATTGGTTCAACATCAAGAAGAGCGGGATGGGAAAGAAAGCACAATAACAAGAAAATTGCGAGATGTCACCTGTGCTCGAGTCTATGAAAAAGTGGAGTAAAAATCCCATCGTCACTTCAGAAATCAGCTGTGAGAATGGACACGCTCAGTTCAATGAACAAATCTCCATACTGCTTTTTTCTTCATTACTGTGTTCAATTGCCTTGATCGTAAACATTTTACATAAAACTATTTCCATATGTTGATTTAATTAGGATTATTCCTTTGGTTAGTAAATAGATGTGTTAGTGCTAAAAAAAAAAAAAAAAAAAAAAAAAAAAAAAAAAAAAAAAAAAAAAAAGAGGCAACTCAGGAGGTTCAGGTTACCTGTGTCCTCTTCTCCAGCATTTTACTTCCCTCTTCCCGTGCTTGGGATTTCGAAGACAAGCACGAGGTGAACAATGTAGGCAAGCAGAGACTCTGTCATTGAGGCAAATCAGGTTCCTAGAAGAGCCTCCCCAGAGGTGGATAACACTCAGTTGGGTGTGCATCAGCTGAGCCCCACATGTGAGATAAATGGAAGTCTCCATCTCCTGATTCTGAGTCACTGGTTGCTTGGGGGTTGATATTTTATCGAATGAAAATACGATTTCTTAGATTGTTTAATATGTAAATCTCTCTCACAATGTTAACAAGTTCTGAGAACTTAACTCACCTGCTTAAGGCCTGGAGCAGTAGGAAGCAGAGCTGACAGAAACGAACGACATAAAACACTTACTGGTTCTCTCTTTTCTTCTTAAGTGGATCCATGAGGCGCAGTGTGTCTCTGATCACAGCCACCTTCACTTCTTCATCCACAAGGCTGGGGACATTTTCAAACACCCCTGGAGAAAGCTTAAATGGGTAAGGATTTCATGTTATGGTGGAGTCTGTGGTTCAATGCCAAGCGGCAATCAGCATTCAACCCTCCAACTAGCTCAAGGGGTTGCGCTGTTAAATTTTGCTTATGCTAATCAATAGAAGAGAATTCTCAAAGGTTCCCCATATACTACCTTAAAAATGTCAATTTCATTTTATAAATGAACAAAATCCAGGAAAGAGAGCACTATGTTTTTCTGATGATCAGAATTCTATATACTCCCTGTAGGACATTTGGACATATAGTATGGGGCAAAGAAAATTAAAAGAATTGAAATAATCCCCCCAAACCCTTATATTAATATTTGGTATGTTTTCTTCCAGTTTTTTTTTTCATCTTTTCTTTTTTGGAAGGAGAAAAATATAACCACTGTTAAATGTACTATTTATCTTAGTGATTCAAGCATGCCGACATGGCTAAATCATATTCATAGAATTTCAATTAGTTCATCTCCTGAGGCTAGCTAATTAGTTCATGTCAAAACTGATGGAAAGACTCAGCTGCTTCTAAGTTTTTAGATCTCAAAAATTGGAAGAATGGCATGCTGGGAAATTATCATAGGTCGGATAGGTCTTGTATTACTAGACTGCCTTCAGAGCTCCACAAAATTAAAATTATTTTATTGGGAAACAACTTTGCTGTTAAAATACAAAAATGTCAGCTCTCATTTAACCAAGCGAATGACCTGAGAGGAGGGATATTTGGTTGTCTGGCAATACAGTCAACGTGATACTGGAAATACTTACTTCATGCTCATGTTCGATTCTCATGCTGGGATTTGCATTTACTTCAAGGAGTATAGGCTTCAGATTTTTCATTAGAAGAATGTCAAAGCCTAAAATCTGGGCAGGATAAAAATAATTCAGAATTACTCCCTCTAGCTATAGCTTTGTGTCAGGGGTTGAGGACAGTATTAGGGTCATTAAGGTAAAAAAAATTCAAGCTCAGTCCCCAACCTTGGCCTTGATCCTGTTTCTTTTGCCCATAGCCCCTCTTTCTCTGGGAATTCCTGGCAGGCCAAATGGACAGTAGAACGTACTCTGGGACTGTGGGTAATAGCATGAGTTCGCAGGGTGCATTTCAGCACTGTGTCGTCTGAAGTGCTGTAATGTGATATCCTATTTCTTCTTTAACAGGTTTATTATTATTATTATTATTACATTGAGGATCAGTAGTATAACAGTTCCTCAGTTTCTCCCTCTGCCTTGTCTTCTCTCTCTTCCATTAAGTTTCTTCTTAGCTAGATCTCTGAAAACCCAAGGCTACCTTTCTTAACCTGGGGTATGCATTAGTATCAAAACCACTGCATCTCCCAACACACACCTACTGAGGGTACTTCTCAGAATGGAACTGCAGGAAAATATATTAAAAAATAAATCCCCAGGCGATTCTGCTATATGCTCTTTGTTAGGGAGAAGGGAATATTTATCAGAGACACCTACTAGGCCCGACTTAACAATCCAATGCAGTTAATATTTACAATTTTATTAAGTCTTCATGATGGTGTGTTTGAAGTAAAGATTATGCTCTCCATTTCGCAGGGGCAGAAACTGAGTCTCAGAAAGACCAATGGAATTGCCCAGATTGCCTAGCTACTAAATGACAGAGCTGGATTTCACACCCAGGTAGGATTGACTACATTACTGGTTTGAACCAGTATAAGATGACAATGTGGGGCCTCTTGTTTAAAAAGTATTCATAGTTTCATGATTATTTCATGACGGTGAACAACAGAGCCTTAAACCCAGCTGGGAGCCCTTCTGAGAACAAGACCTGTGTAATGGCCCAGGTCACACAGCCATGAAGCAGACCCTGCAACCCAGCTAAGGCCAACACCATTTAAAATGCCTATTCTTGAGTCCAGCCTGCTGGGTGAGGGTTTGTCTTCCAGCCCCCCGGCTTCTTTCAGTTCCTCACTAGCCCTACAATTGGGGCAAGTCACCCTGTGCATCTTGTTCTCTCTGCTTGAAACAAAACTGCACCTGGATAACTCCTCGCTTTGAGACCTTTGGTCCTAATTAGACTCAGACTCAAACTACAGGGACTTCGGATTCTCAAGAGGACTTTCATTATTTCTATAAAAGTGATAACGTAAAAAGTTTTGAATGTAATTGACTCAAGCCTAAAGTCTCAAGAAATAATATAGAGAATAAAAAAGAAAAAGATATGGCTGTAGACACCCCTCCTCTGGACTCAAGAAGAAAAGATGAGGGAAATTCATTTAGTTGTCTATATAGAATATTCATTAGTTAAATGATAATTATTAAACCGTAGCTTCGTCCTTATTAATGAAGTCAGAGCCTGAATGACCATTTCTGGAGGTGATTCAAAATGAAGTTATTTTTCAGTGAAGGGCAATAAGGATGAGAAGTTGGAAAAAGTCATCCTTCCTCTATTTTTCTTTCCTGGGTCATAAAAAGAAAGGGCTGGAAATTCAGTAGAAAATGTTATATGGATTATAGATCTGCTTAATAATATATGACAAGTGGATATGAGTGATGAGGTCTTTAAGAGGCTCTGGTGACATCATCAGTCTAACTTCAGACCTGGTCTGAGACATGTGATGTTGACGAGGCTACAGAAGTGGCAGGCCACAGTGCCAGCGTTTATCATCCTTAGTCACTGACTTTCTGTGCTACATCTCAGAAGTCTGGCTTGTCCTTTCTCAGTCTGGTGAACTCTTCCCAGATCAATGCCCAGTGGTTTTATGACTGTAAAACTGTTGGAAGACTGGAAGCTAGAGTAGGGGCTGGCAAAAACCTCATGGGCCATACTGGCCTGTACCTGCCGATAGCAGAAACTTTGGTGGGTGCGTATTTTCAGGTATAAAAGGTTTTGTACAGTAATGTTTCCGAATCAGAAGAACCTGGTTTATGAGCTCAGCTCGGTCTTGTCCTTTAGCTAGATGACATTAGGTAAGATGCTTAGCCTCTCCTGAGCCTCAGTGATCTCATCTGGAAAATGGGTGATAGCAATAGCTGCCCATCCAGGGTTTTGCTCATGGAAGAGAAAAGTAGTATCTAGGACTATCCTCATCGTATAGAAGGCACTCAATAGGTGCTAGCTCTCTTTTCAGTTTCCGGACAATTCCACTACCAAGAATGGCATTAGTGTGCTTTGAAGTCACAGGGAGCTAATCTCACATTGTCACTCTGCCTTTAACTTTTACGTGATGACAGGCAAGTTACCTAGTACGGCTAAGCCCCAGTTTTCTCATCTGTCAAATGAGACAATGAATAGTACTTAACTTATCTCAGTTCATTTACTCATAAAATATTTATGGAATGCTTTCTATGTCCCCAGACCCATTCTACTGGAAATAGACAAAGCTGCCCTTTGGAGCTTACATTCTAGTAGGAGAGACAGAATCAAATAAAGATAATGCACTGTAAAATATGTTCATAGTACCTTATATATAGTGCATGTTTAAAGGAGATCCACTTTATTATATTTTTTCACAAGTTTAAGGAAATATGAATTATCTTTTCAAAAGTTTAAGGACATATGTAGCATCAATAGATCTCAGTAAACAAGAGGAGCTTATTTTGTCACAAAATCCCAGAATGTCTGGGCTGAGAGAAAGTCAGGAAGGCACTTGGTCGAGTGTTTTTCAAAACCAGTTATTTCCTGGGGAAGGAAGGGGAAGATCAACCAGGTCAGATCACTGTTTACCTATTTTACATACTGAGGTTCCCAGAGAAAAAGCTTTACTTTTCTTTTTCTTTAAAAATCACCATCCGAGTCTAACTCCAACATTACACAGACCAGGAAGCTGTAGCTTAGAATGGGGAAACTTCTCTCCAGGTTGCCCCAGCAGCTGGTGGCAGAGCAGGGACTGGGAACTTGTCAGCCTCATGCTACTCTCCTTCCCCAAGTAACCAATCAGCAGGGGGGATCCTGGGGGACTTAAGGATACCTGTTCTTCATCCCTGACCTCTAGAAGTTGAAGAGAAAGGACCCTGAGCTGCTGATAGTACATTTATGCAAAGTCTCCTAGCTATATTCCAAGGACAGAGGATGCTCTCTTGTGCTCTAGACCTACCCATCAATCTGTATTCAAAGTATTGCCAACCGGGAGGTCCCAAACTCCTCAAATTCAACATATCCAAACTCACTATCTGCAGCCAGCAGTCTCCGGAACAGTCCCGATGATCCCACCTGCTGGTATTCATGTGTTTGTATAATTCCACCAGACTTAAGTGTGAGCCACACCTAGTGACTTGTTTCTAACAAATAGAAAAGGGCGGAAGTGACGGAATGTCACTTCCAATATTAGGTTATAAAAAGACTCGGGCCTTCATCTTGAGGTGCTTTCTCTCACTCTCCCTTATTTGCTCTAGAAGCCACCTGCTATGAGCAAGCTGTCCTATGGAAAAGTCCAGATGGTAAGGAATTGATTTCCCCAGCCAATAGCCAGAAAGACCTGAAGCCTGCCAACAGCCATGTGAGTGAGCTTGGAAGAGGATCTTTTCCTGTTCAATCCTTGAGATAATGGCAGCCCTGGCTGACATGTGGATTGTAGCCTTGCTAGAGTCGTGGAGCCAGAGGCAGTCACTATGCCTAGATTCCTGATCCACAGAAAATGAGATCATGGGTATTTTTTGTTTTAAGCTGCTAAACATTGGGGTAATTTGTGACAAAGCAGTAGATAACAACTATACCACCTTTTCTCTAAAATCTACTTCCTGTATTTCTTACCCTCCCCATCACACAAGTCAAAACTTTCTCCTTTAACTCCTCCATCTAGCAGGTCATAATTCCTGTATGCCTACCTCCTACGGAGATTCCAAGACCCATCTTCACTGCTCCTGCTATGAATCAAATCTGTACCTTCCCTCCTCTTTTCCCTGCTCTCAAACTCATCCCTAGATCATCTGGCACAAGGGGCTGCCAGAGTAATTTTTCTAAGTTACCACTTCTCTGTTTAAAATATCTGTCTACAGGATGAAGCCAAGTTCCAAGGCCTGTAGTACAGATTTCTCTATGACCTGGCATCTGTCTCTTTCTCCTCCCACTCACAACTGCACAGCGTGGGCTCTAGTTGTACAGAACTACTAGTGGTTCTAGCATGCTTTACCACTCTCTGTCCTTATACTTTTCTACCAAGAAGGCCTTGTTTACTTTATCAAATATTTATTGAGCACCTTCTAAATAGTAGACAGTATTCTAGGCACTGGGGATAAAGCAGTGAACAAGATAAAGCTCTTGCCTCTTGGAGCTTTATTTTAGAGGGCAGAGAAATCAAAGCAAGTGAATGATTACAGCAAGGTAATGGGCTAGCCCTGTCATGCAGTGGTTAGGCACTGTGTATTGGAAGCTGCATTCCACATGGCTAACCATGATTTGAATCTCAGTCTTAGTGACTTGAAAAACATGATGGACATGTATGTGTCATGTCCAAAACCCTGATGGAAGGAGAAATGGAGGAAAGGGATTATGATGTGACCACAACCAACTGAGGGGTGGGGTGCTTTCTCTCTCTCTGAGTACACACACCCCGCTGGCAATCAAAACATTAAAAGAAAAAAAAAAGTAATGTAAGAATGCAAAGTGTGATACAGTGAGGAGGAAATTTGCTAATCTAGATATGATGGCCAGGGAAGCCTTTCCAAGGAGATGACATGTGTTATTCTGTTGTCTTCTGACTAAAACAGTTTTTGTTAAGAATATTATGGCTATTCTTTAAGGCTTCCCTAAATATATGTCTTTTTCTCTTTAGTTGCTTTTAAAATTTTCTTATTATCACTGGTTTTCCATAATTTTTTAAAAGCATGGGTGTGTGTGTATGTGTGGTATAGGTTACTTAGAATTTCTTGAGTTCGGGGACTATGTCACTGGACTC